TATTCTAATCTCTTAAGGTCGTGGAATAAATTTGATGTTGGCTGTAGTAATGTTCTGGGAGCTGGACTTGACAAGTGTCTGTGTTAGATTCTCTCTGGCTGCTGTCTCTTTTCAGATCTGTTTTTGCAGAATGATTGTAGTTTTCAGATTGGAGTTTGAGTTTAAGGGGGTTGCTGAGGCTTACATTGTTGGCATAAGAGAACTGCAAGGATATAACATCTGTAATAAAGAATCCCGTTTATCCACTGATGCCGGTATTTTTTTGGATTATAAAGCACTTCGGGATGTTCAGACAATCAGAGAGCTGAGTTAGCTAAACATTATTTACCTTACTATTCTGCATAAATACTGGAAGAGGGACTGGAATGAACCTTCCCAATCTGCTGGTTTTAACTCTGGGATCATTTTAATATAAAAGTAAGCTATGGAGAGGAGAAAATATTCTTAATATTTACCCATTGTGTGAATTCTGCTTGTGAGCCTTGTATAGTCTTTTCTGGTTTAGCATTTGAATAGTGGAAGGACCGCTAAAATCAGCTCATTTCAGACATCATCAAGAAGAACCTCTGGAGTCACTTTGGTAGTTCTCCTCATGCTTTCAGACCAAAATGCTGCTAATATTTTTTGCCAATTACTGAAGTCTGCAACAGTTTTTGAATAGCACCCAACGCACTTTTTGCTAAACCTAGAGATACACTTCCTGCTCTGATGAAGGACTGCAGAAGGGAGGGGGCAAAACCTGCAAACATTAGATGATCATGGCTGGTGTTACCAGATTAATTAGACTTTGGCTGGGAAGAGGCATTAAGCTGTTCATGTTAGAGACAGGTCATTTTGTTGGTTAAAGTCTTTAAATACCTCTGGACTTTTCAGTCTCTGCTGTCTTGGGGTACCTGAAAGAAAAAAAAAAAAGAAAAGTTAGAAACCTTGTGGGCTTTAGCCCTGTTATATAAATCTTACTGAAATCCCACTCCAGTTCATGCTCAAGTCCCTCTTTCCTTGTTAAGTCCCAAGAGATGCTCTGAGTAAATAAAAGCTGCTGCCTCTTAATCACTTGTCAGTTCTTCCTGCCTGATCAGTATGAGTCATATTGAAGGGCGGCACTAGCCGTGTCATAACTGCAGGCGAGAGCAGTGCCCAACAGGCTGCTGCTCTGAGCAGCTTTACTAAAGATGTAGCCATCTACAGCCTGATAAGAACATAATGCAAATCTATATGTACATACGTATGTATGTATGTATGTGGGTATCTTAATTGCAGTATCTCCAGACATGGATTGCTTTTTAAGACAGTACAAAACTGAGAGAAAATATTTCAGGTGAGAGGCTTGACTGGCTGGCTACTTAGCACAGGAGGCTGGAAAGGTCTGAACACTCGCTCAACCTTTCCTGCCAGTCATTCAGAAACTAAACAGCCTCCGCTGTCACTCAGGAACTTTGTCTAGCAAACGTTTGCTTGCCTGTTTATTTTCTCACTTAGGGTTGAGGTCACCTGCCCTCCTTTTAACTAATCAGAAAAGACAGCAGTAATGAAAGCATGAGGTGTGTGCTCCTGGGGCCTCTCTTCTGAATAGCCTTGTAGTGCAGCCTGCCCGCAGGTCTCCTGCAAACTTTGCAAAGTGACGCAGGCCTATGCGAGTACAGAAGAAAAGGGCAGGGGGATGGAGAAAGAGAGAGCGCATTTTTTTTTCTTTTTTGCTTCAAGATCCAACTAGAAAAGAGGAAAGATATATTGCTGAATCTTACATAATACTAGGAAGGAAAACACAGCTAATTACTGGGGAATTTCCTACGTGCTACAGGAAAAAACTATGGCTTGTTAATTAAATGGTAGCGCCCTTCACTGCAAAATTAAACTGATGTCCTAGCACAGAGATAAGGCGCAGAAGGTAGGTAAAAGTGCTTGTTCTTCTGAAAAGTAAATGAACTTCCTGCCTGCTTGTTGTTCTTAAGGGACTATCTGTAAGAGGGCATGCCAGGATGTGTACACTGTCTCTTTGAAACTTCTGCTCGAAAGTACTGTTGGGCTCTGCTAAATAGCATTAGTTGTCAGGCCCTGCCTTAGAGATCAGTGCATTTCAGCATTGACTGAAGCCATTACTGTGCAGTTGACTCTTGAAGAGCTTTATATTGTGGATGAAAGGTTCATACTTGAAAGAAGGGACACCGAAAGAAAGCCAGAGTAGCAAGGAGAGGGAAGAGTATCCAACATGCGTGCCCTTTGCTCGGTAGCAGAGTAGGCAGTTTGCATTACCTTGCAGACCCTTGCAGAAGCTGAAAGGGTTTAAAGGATCCCAGCATCAGTCTGCTCAGTCAAAACTGAGAGTGATTTTTCTCTGTAAGACTATTATTGTGATGAATCACATGTTACTACAATTAGCAGAGAGATGCGCAATTACTCTTCCAAAGCAGTGGCAGGGAAACAATTGCCTGGGACACCTAGGCCAGGTAGACGCAGAAAAAAAGAATGCCATCAGGTATGAAGAGACTGGAAAGATGTCACAAAAAAAAAAAAAAAAAACTGAAAAGGGATAAAGGAGAATAACAGGAGAGGGAAAGGCTTGTAGATGGACATTGGCAGAGATGGGGAACTGCCTGAGATGGGCCTTTGGTCTTGAGCGAGAGGGGTTGTTCTCATGTGTAAGAGGCTACTGCTGTTTACCAGCAGCCACTTGTATCAGATGTGGGCCCCTGAGAATAAATACAAAACCATTTACAGAAAGACTGATATGGTTCCTGAAAAAGATAAGCTATACTGGAGAAACCTGAGCTACTTTACCCAAGAGTAAAAAAAATGCTCAGCAAAATTGAAAGGGGTGGGGAGAGATAAAGGCACACAAAGAGAATGAGGAGACAGTTAAATAAGAGGAGGAGAGCACAGCACACAGGTTTGAAGGTGGCGGCACAGGACTTATCTTTTATCCTGCCCTCCTGATACCCCTGCATGGTGGTCCCCACACAGTTAGCTTCTTGGGAGGGAGCCTAAATTGTTTCATTTTTGTGCTTTTTTCCTACCCTATTTAAAGAAGGATGCTGAGATATTATGCAAGCCCTACCCTTTGAAATTTAAGTTCACAGTGGAGAAGGAAGAAAACTTGGAAATGAGACAAAAGGGAGAGAGAAAACATTTTCTGTTTATTCAGTGTAAGCAGTGGGGATTAGAGGCTGTCCATACTATCTTTACCTCACGTCTCCATATAACCTCTTACATCCCCCAGGGTGAAGATAGGAGCATTTCCAGTGCTTCTGAATTTAATATCTTTGTGGACTGAAGCTGCTTGGAGAGTGTAATCTCTTACAGGTGGCAGGACAGTTTATCTGAAAGATCTAGAGCAAAGACTCAGTGCTTACTCTTGCTAAGCTCAAAGACATGTCTATAGGCATGGAGACTTGTGTCATCACCTAGGCTGAATGTGGCCTGGCCTTACCCAAACGCTTACATTTCAGAAACATTTGATTTGATGGTGAATCTCAGCCTAAGAGCACGGATTGATTAGACGGCTGACCTGTTTGTCCCACCTTCCTCCGATTTGACTTGTTTAACTTGATGTCCTTTTCCAAACATTTCTAACCCCAGACCTGCTCCTCCTCATCGCACCTCAGAGGAGCCTCAGCCTAGGGTGCTCCAGAAAAGAAGGTGCTCGTGGCCACTGCCAGGCACTCCAGGACCCCCTCAGTTTCTGCCCTGAAAGAGCAGAAACCAGCAAACATGAAGGTAACAACCGTCACGGGGAGCTCTGAGCCATGTGCCGTGCTCCTTTGCTGCCCTCTACTGCAGGGCTCGGCATAATTCCCCTAAATCGGCAAAAACTGGTATTTCACCAAAAAGCCAGGGCTCACAGCCAAATCTGGCAAAAACACTGCCAGCTCGAGAGAGGAGATGCAACATGATCACGAAAGCATAAGAAATGGCATTTGTTACAGGTGACTGTCCCTTGTAGAAATCAAGAGAACGGCAAAGTCACTTTTCTAGAAGGGTAAACAGCATTAGAGTCACATTTTGGGGCCTCAAAATTTGACTGTTGTGCTCCTAACACAAAATTAGAATTAACAAGTGTTATGTATTCGATGTCTAAAGATTATTTATTTTCTAGTTAAGAGTTCACAAACTGTCCAATTTTGGGATATTAATGCAAAAATAATTTTAATTGAGCCTTATGCCTTATGAAAACTGGACAGCACATATGGGTATAAATATGCCATATGCTGACTTATTTTCACTATTCAGGCTTAGGGGCTGAGACTTAGGGGTGAGAAAAGCCTAGTATGTGAGAAAAAAAAAAGCAAGCTAAAAAAGCTATAAGCCTCCAAACCGACCGGTTTTTATGCAGCACAAGGCTTTTGAAGACAGTGGTATATGGACTGTGTGCAAAATGCCGGGGTATAGCCACAGAATTGCACCTGCAGCTTGGTGTTGCTGTTTTTTTTTTTTTTTTTTTTCCAGTTTCATTGGTTTTGAGTAGTGGAGTAAAAGCTAGTAAGCCTTTCCTTTTGACTGAGATGTGAGGATCTCAGCCCTGAGAACTTCCAGCACGGAGGGTGCCACCTGCAAATTTTACTTTCTTGCATTGTAACATTCGTGGCCTTACCCCACTCCTCCATATGCTAGTAAACGGCTAATGAAAAGGCAGTTCTGCCCGACGCCCTTTCCGCTCCTGAACAACCCCACGAGTCTCCTCGTGTTGCAGCTCCTCTCGACTCCCCTTCCCTCCCGGCTCTGCCGGGCAGCAGCTCCAACGCAGGACGCATCCCGCCGGGCGGTCTGCGCTCAACGGCCGGCACCCCCGCGGGTCACC